TTTTAATAAATTCAATCATGAAATGACACATGAAATACGCGAAAACCGGCGCATTTTAAACGGCTTCATTTACTCTTTCAATTGACATATAGTGAGGGTCCAAACAAGCATATACGTTTTTATTTTAGAATATCCTTGCTATTCGTTTATGTGTAAAAATAAAAAAGTCCAGGCTTTTTTCGGCCCTCAATGTATGCTTCCAATTATTTTCTCCTCAGTCCTCCAAAAAATGATCCAGGTGGTCTTAGAAAAACTGTTGCCATCTGAGAACGATGATAGATGAACATCAGAGACTTGCGTAGATTTGTAGAAGATAATCCGGTGGTTCGAGCTCACCCATGGAAAAGAAAATCCAAAACTTTTTTTTGGCAGACATTCTCAACTAAAAAGGATCGATGCGACAAATCACTTTGAGATGACACATCATTTTATTTCTAAATAGATCTATGATCCGAACTATCCTCTGCGGAATGGTGAAAACCTCAACTCTCCATCTGTGGTCTATCCAGCGTCATTCCAAAAAAGCTGAACACACTAAACAAACACATCGGAAAAATTCCAAAGGGGAAACAGCAGATTTTGTGACTTTTGTAATCGGGGCTTCGTTCCGCAGGCAATCTATCTTTTTCAAATTTTGTTGTTCTCCTGGAAACTCCTTGATATTCTTCGTGGCTTCGCTGAGCCCGAAGAATTTTCCTGACTGTTTTTGAGTTTTCCCGCGCTTTTTCCGCTTAGCCCTATTTTCAGTCATTTTCACGGATTTTCGGGATTTTATCGGATTCTAATCCTCTTTTCGAACTTTTTCTTGTACTCCCGGCGATTCCTCCAGCTTCTCGAACTTTCGGAAGTCTGTATAGGATTCTCCAGGCTTCAGTAAGTCTGGGAATCCACAGCTGCTTGGAAGTCTGCTATTTCCGCCTTAAAAAATTCTCTAGAAACACTATAGTTTGTTTTTCTTAGCTATCCTACTGTTGGTAATTGAAGTTAAATATTTTTCGTGATTTGTTTTTGAGTTTAAAAATTTTTAGTTCTGAGTGCAACGCATATCTAAAGAAGGCAAGTCATTAGCGCAAAATCGACTTTTTATACGGGGAACAGAATCGGTCCAAATTTTTTTTCTGAAGAGTTTATTATGTGAATCGACGGGCAGCAAAGTGACTCTTGATTCAAATCACTTTTCGCATTTTCGAATAGTGATGCGAAAAGTGATTTGAATCAAGAGACACTTTGCTGCCCGTCGATTCACATAATAAACTCTTCAGAAAAAAAATTTGGACCGATTCTGTTCCCCGTATAAAAAGTCGGTTTTGCGCTAATGGAAGAGAATATGATTTTCAAGGCGTGTGCATTTTCTTACGTCTCGTCTCTATGTTTTAGCGTCTACCATGTATCAGGAATTCTGAAACAAAAACGCTTTCAAGATTTTTTGCTGTAATCATATTAAGGTTTCTAGTAATAGCTTCCACATCAACAAATCCAACTTCGTTGAATCTACTCACAAAAAGCGCTGAATCTGCTGTCAAATAGCGACATCTCACGCGGTATGTCTTAGTTACCTTAAAAATAGCTATATTAAATTATTTTTAAAGAAATGGATAGATCCACTGGTAATTCAGATGTACAGTTCCAGAATAAGACGCGTAACACAAAGGGGATCTGATGAAAAACCTGATTGGGCTTAAAACTCTGCTTATCAGAAGTCATTTGCTGTTCACTTACTTAACTGCGCGCGCCTGCAGTTTAGTTTTATCTATAGTTTAATTCTTATTGGATTTGTATATTTTGTTCTGTAGATTATTTTGTTAATATTTTAAGCAGCTCTTAAATTGCAAATATGTTAAAATTCGTGTCGTTATCCTCTACAAATCTACGCAAGTCTCAGATGTTGATCTATCATCGTTCTCAGATGGCAACAGCTTTTCTGAGACCATCTGGACCATTTTTGGAGGACTGAGGAGAAAATAATTGGAAGCATAGGCTATCGACTATGCTGAATCTCATTACAATGTCAGTTTTGAAATAAAACTTCCCACTAGAATCCGGCATCGGGTTTTTCGCAGGTTTGGATTGCTAGCAGTACGTTCGTGAAATCTTTTTTTTCAGGTAAAATACCACATTCGAAAGCGGAAACATTTCTCTATCAAACGTACATCTTAAACAAATTTGCTGTTTAGAAACGAATTTTAATTTCACTATTTAGTCAAACCCGAAAAAAACCCGATGCCGGACTCTACTCCCCACACCTAGTGAAAACTTATATTAGGTGAAATAATCCATTTTCATAACATGGACAAAGTTTCTACATGCATAAGTTTCACTACTGCATGAGCTTTGTATTGGTATAAAAGATTTCATACTACATTACATTTCATGTATTCGTGTGTAGGAAGTAGATTCGACATAATTCTGTTATGTATTTTAGATGTTTTCAGTTCACATTGTGACTAAATTAATCTAGAGTCAATTAGTAACACATACCAAAATTATAAGATGGAATTATTTTAATCAATAGATGTTGTGAGTATGGACATCTTTTATCTTTCTTTGAGCTTAAACAAGATGATCAGAGTTAGACTGGAAGTATGTCATAAGTGCGATTCTCGAACTGGCAATGTGTTTTTCTTTGTATTTCTGATTTGCGAATGGCTGCTCAATGACAATGTCTTTTATATATTTATTTTTAGGTTAAAATGAGTGCATCTAACATTAACATTAATGTTCGGCAAGATTCATTGTCCTTCGATGTATTGGATGAATGGCTGACCCCTTCTAAGGTAAGCCACTTGTTTTATTTGCTTTAATTTATTTTGCTCTCTCGGTATCTTTGAATAACTTTTTTGTTTTTGACTGTGTAGACTTAAAATTTTTTTAAAACGATTCGCCGTTTCATTCTCTAAAAAAAACACATTGACCATTTTTCTGTAAACTGTAAAAACAACAAGATATATTGAAAATACTGAAAGTATATGTTCCAGTGCTTCGAAGTGTTGTCTTTCTTTCCGTTTATCATCGGTTCACTTTAAACGTGTTCTCTGACACAAAAGGCAGTTTTATGAAAGTTTATATATCTGAACATGGATAATTTGACTTTTTCGCTCCGGCATAGAAAAGGACATGGAGCTATTGAACTTTCTCTGTTCGAATGTGATAAAAGAATTATTCTGCTTTACGATAAAACACCCCGACTTTAAAATGTTTGACTCTGATCGAGTTATAAATTTTTTTCTAACTGTCCCACAACTTCAGTTTGAAAACGATGATTTTTAACAAAATCAATAAAAGAAACCTCTCTTCTAACCGCTTATGATCATGAAGAGTTTTAAGTATAATCAGTTGATAAAGCTTTCAAGGGTTGCAAAAGGTGTACTGTCTCTTTTTGTTATCCCAAAATATGAAGAAAATCTATGTTTGATTAAATTGTCTAAATTAAAGCTTCACGATATTTCCTCTATGTCATTTTGTTTTTACCGTATATAGAAAATGTTCGATTTGTTTTTTGTAGAAAATAAAATTTTAAATTATAATTTGTGTAGAACTGTAAATGTCTAGTACAGAAACAACCAATTTTCACAATATATGTTTCAAAATCTTATGTACTTTAAAATAATTGCTTGAATCACATTGATAAAGAAACTTTTCACATATTGTACTGTTTTTTCAATTGTTGTAAAATTTACTGCCTGAAATAGTTAATTTTTTGTCCTCTACTTTTTTTTCACATTTAATTATCGTCATAATTGACAAAATTTTCTTTATTAGAGAAAACGTGCTTAAGTTTAAAGAAAGAAAGAAAGAAACCTGATCATTTCTATCCGACCATATTGTATAATTACTTTCTAATAAACGTATTGAAGAGGTCAAAGATGTTTAGAGTTACAAAGACTAATGACGATGATAATGGTAGTGAAAATTGTTATTTATTCATATATTGCATGTTAAGATATTCATTAGTAGCAGATGAAGAGAGAGGCAACAAAAAAAAAAAAAATGATGCATATATACACAGCGTGATGTATAATCTTGCTTTTTTCACTTCATTCGTTTTTAATGCACTTAACTTTTTTTAGTGGCAGTAGTTGTGAAAAAAAAAAGTGAATCATTTTCATTAATTATGTAATAAGAGATTCAATAACGAAATAGAAAATGATGATGATCAGACAAAAAGAGGAGAAAACTCTGACATTTCTCTATATACTTCGAGGCGGATTTAATTTCATTTATTTCAAGTAGAATATACTTCTCGTTAATCCATTACTTGCTGTTTATTCATCAAGAACAATATGTTTCTTTTCAATTTTGGATGTAGTAATATAATTAATTTGATTAGTTTAATGGCAAAGGCATGAGATCATCATTATTAGTTACAATAGAGCATAGAAAATATTGAAATACGCAAATTTGTTTCATAGGTTTGAACTTAAATTATCAGAAATCTCTTAAAAACACATTCATAAATTAGTACCAAAATTATCCGAAAAAATGTGAAATTATCATGAAAAAAATTGATACGGAAGTTCCCATCACATCATTAAAAACATTTTTTTTTCTCTAACTCTTTGTTTTCACATCAGCAGCAGATTTTTTGAAATAATTATTTACCAACTGCAGCATTTCGAGAAAAGTTACTCTTACACACCTCGTTTTTTCTTGTATGTAACATCTGTAATCATCCATATAATTCCATTCACTATTAATTATAAAATCATGAACAAAAGATTATAAACTAATATTATACGAGATAATTAAACGCCTGAATTTGACAGGAAAAAAGAGGTGAAGACTATTATATGTGGCTATTATACAATGAAATCGGATTAAAATTTTGACAGGTATATTCCTTGATAAGTAAATGTTTCAATTGAAATTTTTTTAATAAATAAAATTGCTTTTTGATAGATAGTGTCAAAAACGATCCCTGAGCTAGATGATTATCATCTCAGACTGCTTATGGCAGATTTTATGCTCTTCTTCTTTTCTTTTTTTTTCTGAGCCTCTATATTAATACGGTTGAAAAACACTGTTTCTAATCATCGTTGCATAGCAAGAGAAATAAGGAGAATATGTTCCTGTTTGTTTTGTTTCGATATAGGTGTTCATTAATTAGTAAATGAGCACGAAGAAAAGTAGAAAAAAAAAAGAAAAACGAAAGAAGACAGAAAAATGGAATGAAATGAAGAGGAAAAAAAAATAGTGAGATGAAAATAAGATAAGATCTTCAATAGATCAGTATACAAGAGAGTTTCCTGTTTTAACATTGAATATATAGAATAGAATAAAAAAAAGAAGAAGAGAGGATACAATGATGCCAGAAGAATGTAAGTTAACCATAACGCTTTTATTATTACCTTTTTTGTAAGCTAAATTTTTTGAATAATTATTTATCTTTGTTCATTAGTGAGAAAATTTTTTTTTTTACTAATATAATTTTCTATTAAACACAGTACGAACCGGTTAATGAATGAATAATTTAGCCATCATAATTTGAATATGCTATTTATTGAAAGTACAGGACATTATACTCATTAAATGTCTATCTCACGCAGATGAAAATACTGTACACCTACTGTTTATTTTTCTTATCTTTTAAAATAGAAAAGCCTAATGGAAAAAATGATGTATCTTGTCACCTTCTGATTATCATTATCCTCTATACTTTTCTTGTACTTTTTATAAGAAAAATGTTCTTAGATTATTTTAAAATGTTGTATAAATAAAATGCTTGATGTTTCTTTAGAAAATACTTGAGACAATTTTAAGAATGTTTTTTTTCTATTGCATACAAGGTTGTTGAACATTTTTAGTCAAATTATATCTTCACAGTACAATATATTATAATAAGGAAGGACAATGTATATGTAAAATTCAGTTCTACTAATGATTATATATAATAGTACAAGGATCTAGACTATTTATTATTGTTTGAATTTAAATGATCACGTTGCTAACAGAAAAGAGAGTTTCTTCTCTTGTCGAACCATCGAATCTCATCACTTCTATATTTTTGTTATTGAAAAATTATCAACATAGCATAGAATTTACTGTAAAGTTCTTCGTAGTAAACTGAAAAACCCAGAACTCAAAAAATTGTTTCAATTAGGTTAAAACAAAGTATATGCCTGAGAGAAAATGTTTATAAAATTCTTCATTAATATATCGAAAGGATGAAAAGTTGAAGTTTATACTGACAAACTATGATTTTTGATCAAGTTTTTACTCTATCATTTAGTAGACGTATAACGGTAGTTGAGCTAGTTGACACCTCTTCATATTTGATCTGAAATTCAGATGTAGTAACAATATTATAAGAGCTGATGAGCTACAATTTCAAGATAGATAATATTTTATTCAAGTTTCATGTTTTAGTCCTAAAAGTACGGTACTAACACGTGTTAGAAACAAATATTTTAAAATAAGAGTGACAATTATACGAGATTAATCAAAACTTAAACACTAACAACAAACAAATAAAAAGAAACCGAAATTATTTTCTCAAGAATCTGTATCGGAATGATGGATATTTTGAGTCGGGCACGTTTTTTTCTTTGTTTTATAACGAATTCAAACGTATCTTCAATAACTTAGATTACAGACGTATTTCTTACCTCTGTGAGACATATTCGTTTTGTTGTTCTAAATTCATGCATTATCTTTGTTATTAACTCAATAAATAGGGAAAAATTCTCAAACAGACACTAGGTCTAACTTCAAACTCGCAAATATATACAATTGTAATTAGTAGAACCTTTCGTTCTATTTGATGTTTGAACGTCAATGCAAATTAATAAAAGTAATAGAAAAAGATTAATTGATAGAATATTCTCAACTTGTTCTGGATTTCCATTTGATCATCGTTCAGTATGCCGTATGAAATGCAAATATGAGTTTTATATATGAGATTATGAAATAATCAGACATAGACATCAATGGAAAGTTTTGAGACGTATGCAAAGGTGAATAAAGTCATCGATAACGTCAGCATCGTATTACTTTTTGAAAGGAGGCTTACTGATCTTTGTTAAACTATTTTTGCCGATGGGGTAAAAAAAAAGAAGTTTTTATTATAAATTTTATTCTTTTCGCTTGAAATCATCTTTAATAATTTGTTTAATTTCATGCTTTCTTCTTTCTATTCAATAAAATAAGAAAATCTTATTTACAACACAAAAAATAGAACAAACATCTCTTGTCGAACAAACTTTTTCATACATAAACAAGACGAATAACGAAGTAACATAAAAGAAAGAAACAACAGAATAGAGAAAAATAAGATTTCAATTGCAAGATGAAATAGTGATTATGTTTGAATAATCAGTAAAAATAGCAGAAGTTGCACATTATTTGTTTGTTAAAGTACTTAACCGTATAAAAAGCCGTTCTCGAAAAAGAAACAATAGTCGAAAAATTGTTTTTTTTAAGAGGACATGAAAAAAGAACGATGTGCCTGGCGTTAATGCCACAGTTGGTGCCTAATTCTGACAATGACAGTTTGATTAATGCTACATTCTCTTCAAAATTCGTAACTGTCCATCAATTAATCATAGTGTTATATGACTCATAGATAGCGAATCTATTTTATTTGATAAAAGCAGTGGTCGTTTACTATTAGTTTAGATATTTTATAAGTAGCATATATAACTTCTCAATTATTTCCTTACAAAAATGTCTAGAGTTTTTCAAGAGAAAAAAGTTAGCTCCAATCGATTTGAAATTTTGGTGAAAAACTTCACAGATTATGCACAGAACCAAAATTAATTATTTATCTACTACTAAATTTTCAAATATTTCTATTTCAGCGATAGAGTCAACGTTAAATTCTAGTAGAAAATGTATTGCTCTACAGTATGATAGTTTGTTCGTTTTTTTATCTAAAATTATTTAATTACAGAAAATTTCATTATATTAGAACTTGATTTAGTGAATAATATGAAAAATAGAATAAAAGAAACAAATATATTTATTATTCATCTTTGTCAGTATTATATTGATCATCATATATTGTTTTATCCTTCTTAGATTGTTGATAAAATCATGAAATTTATACATATTCTGTTCAATTTCATATTTCGTATTGAACATTTAACTAATACATCTAATAATTTCATGATATGTGTTGATTCATATAATCTAGACTATTTATTATTGTTTGAATTTAAACGATTCACGTTGATAGCAGAAAAAAAGCGATGAGAATTTTCTTCTCTTGTCAAACCATCGAATCTCATCTCTTCTAAATTTTTGTTATTGAAATATTATCAAAATGGCATAGAATTTACTGTAAAGTTCTTCATAACACAAGTTTCAAAAAAATCTAACCAAGATGTATGTCAAATGTTTGACAGAAGGTAATGAAAACACTTTTGTAGATTAAAAATTACTAAGCCTAAACAGCGGTAAGGCAGTGTTTAGACTATTATCTAGAACAAATTTTGTCGACAGAAAGACAACCTCTATTTAAATACTATAATACAACTCGGTTCTGGTTGGTTTCTATGTACAAGTGTAAGGTTCCTTTTCATAGAAAAAGATTAATGTTTCTTCTTCCTTGTTTTGTTTTCGTTATTCAACTTTTATGATTACTAATTGAATTGTTTTATATTCTTATTTTAGGCACAGAAGTCATCTTCCTTATTAATGAACAATCCACATTTAAGTCAAGAGATTCATTCGGCCATAGTTACGGAACGTTTCAGTGTAAGTTACTTCTTTGTGTACATGTTGTTGCTAAGATTAATTTTCATATTTTAAAGACTTATACTTGATTAATTTTTGTTTCTTCTGGCATTCTCATCCATAAAGTTTTATTGCGTATGTGAGTGTGTGTGTGTATTAAACTATATTACTGATACTGCACATTGAGTTACCTTTTGTGAATGAAGGAAGATAGAGAGAGAGAGAGAGAGAAAGAGGAAGAGAAAGAGAGTGTGTGCATGTATGTGTTTGAACAAAAGAAGAGACTTTAAAAAATATTTTATTTGATGTTGCCTATGAAAGACGAGCCGGATGAGCTCACGGATCTATGTATGAACGAGTTTTGTTGTGTTGTATGTATTTATCTAACGAACAAATTAGACATTAATAAAAATTCATGATTGAATTTAATAAAAATATGTTTATTATTTTCAAATGAATGATTCTTTTCAATTATATATATATATATATATATATATATATCATAACATTGCTTTCCAACATGAAAGACACGTTATAAAAGAAAAATAACTGCAGTCAGTCGTGAGCTCATAATTTAGAGGCAAGATTACTTTGATTTTTGTTTCGTTGCCGGATCTTTACCTCGAACACAAATTCTAACTTTTAGAAGGTAATAGTATATTTCAAGAGTTTGTCTTTAAATCACTTATAGATAGGTACTGATCATTTAATGAAAATTTTTTTATACTCACTAACATCACAAATGTATTGTGATGTCTCTTGTCTCTTATTTGTCGTCTCTAAGTTGTCTCTTTATCACACACACAAAATGTACTAATATTTCGTCTAATGTTCATTGTTGCATAAAAATCAAATAAATATCTTTTTCTTTTATTCTAGTCTATATCATCTATTTGTAATCAATTGTTTCAATTATATCGTGATTCTAAAGCTAGATCTTTTGTATTACAATTTTTACCAACATTTTTGTCAACATATTATGATGTACTCTATGAAAAAGATGAAGAAACAAAGGTAAGAGAGAATAAAGTTGATTTTAATTTAAACAATGGAAATGGTAAATGATTTTCTTTTTTTTAAAAGCAAAAGTTGATTATATTTTTTTCGGAGATATTTTCGTTGATTGTGGTATATTTCGTTGAGATTATTTGTATAGGACAATGATATTTTTATTCACACTAATTTCTTTGACATAAAATCTTCTTCAATCCTGAATTGAATATAAAAAATTGTTGAAAAAAGAAAATTTGATATGTACTTTTTACTTAGTAAATCTCTTTTGTTTGATCCACTACATTAATGAAGTTAGTCTAAATACACACATACGCATGATGTGCTCTTCTTCATTCTAACTCTCTCTTATGCTTCTTTTGTCATACTCATCTCTATTATGTTGTTTGACATGTTCATCATTTGTTCTCTTTCTAAAACGTATCACCTTCTCACATCATATTTCAAGAATAGAGACGGAGAAGAAGAAAAAAAAAAAATGAAACTCTCAATTTCTCGTATGACAATAACATATGTATGTGTCTATAGACAAAGTGATAACACATAATTATCGATAAATCATCAGGTAATCTTAGATCATAATCAGCCATCTTATTTTATGGAAGCTCAAAGAATAGAAGAAAAAAAAAAAGAAAAAGCTCTTAGTAAAATTATAAGAGAAAAAGAAGAAAGAGAATAAGAACAGTAAGTATATGTTTTGATATTAAGGAAATTCTTATTAATTATAATAAACATGAACATTTATTAAAGATCTATGATATTATACCATGAGATTTTCATTTATATTTCATGACGTTTATATGCCTGTTATCAAAATAATAGGAATGAAAATTTTTTTTAATTGGAAATTCTAATTTTAAATAAAATGTAGGATAGAATAAAATGAGAAGAAAAGAGATTTTCTGTACTTGACATGCACAACTGTAAGAAGTGTGTTTCTGACAATAAAAATTTAATTAAATCTTATCGCATCATTAAAATAACTATTTGTCATAAAATTGATAGTGTCAAAGTTAGATTATATAAGAATTGTCTTTTTGCACCTGTCTGTCTGTATAAATAGACAAGAGATCTTTCAACTAGCTTGTGACTTGCATACTTTAAATATAAATCAATTTTTTTCGCTATTATAATAGAATAAATTGTCTCTTTATCATACATTAAACATAGAAAACCAGTGAAGAATTTTTTTTTTATTTTATAATAAAAGTTCGAATATATTATGATAAACTTTAAACTCAATATAAAAACTCGAAATAAAAATTTGTATTTTCTAAAAATCAACGCATACAATCCGTTTTAATCACAAAATGTTCTTTGAAAACGCACTATTGGTGTGTGTAAAATAAGACTAATATAAAATAACAATGAGACGACTAGAATTATTAAATACCAGATTTTAAAAGATCTGTTTAAAGACTAAAAAACATGGTATATCACAAAAATAGAGTGTAGAACTATTTTTTTTTATTCTTTCTCACTATTTATACATTTTGTTGAAATTCTAGTTGAACAAAAAAAATTTCTATGATCTTATCGAATTATTCCATTGATCCGATGATAATTTTTTTTACTACATGTACGAATTTGTTATAAGATCTTTGATATTTCTTTTTCTTCTCATCTTTTTTATATTAGAATTTTCATCTTTTCTCTTTTTCATTTCTCTCCCTGCTTTGAATAAAAATGGCACCACATATGATTAACTTTACTTCCGATCTTTTGTTTGAAGGTATTTGAGCTTGAGAAAAAAAGAAGAAAAGTAGAAAAAAAACGTATATTAGATCTAATTAAAAAAGAAGAAGAAGAAGAGAAGAAAGAAAGTAGTCGTATATTGTTCGATGATAATACGTTAAAAAGTTTAAATAGCATTGTACAGTAAACACAAGGAAATGAAAAAGAATCAAATTTGAAACACGTCAAACAAGGTTAATTTTTTTTTTTTTGCTTTAATATTAAAAAAGAGAGAAAGAGAGAAGTAGATAGGAGAAAAAAAAAACGAATGAGAGAGTAATAACAGCAATAATAATAATAATACTGTAATAAATTCAAGTCTTCAACTCATTGACTGGGATCGACACAATCTTTTCTTTTTTTCTCTTTTATTTTTACAAGAGAGATAAAGAAGAAGAAAAAAAAAAAAATAAAATAAAACAGGAAATAGAAAAAAAAAGATGAGCTTCTTTATTATTTAAAAACATAAGAAAAAAAATTATCTCCATCGTCATTTAACACAAAATTCTATTTTCATTTCTAGGATATTTGTTCAACAATCGATACATACCTCATCGGTTTATATAATCTGGTAGGTATAAACATATAACACACAACTATTAACGAATAAAGACTCTGACTAATCGGTAGTTCGTTACTGATAACAGTAGCCGTAATTAATTCTGTATCAGTAGCTCTACTACTGAATAGTTAATTGTCATTTACATTAACTTAACATTCACTTTAGTTTCTTTTTCATTTTCTTCTAATTTTTATATTAAATTAAACAATAATCAATTGTCTTAATATTTAAGGGTGTTGTTGATGATGCCGTTGACGAAAGAGTTCATGAATTTCGTACGTATTATACAGAAAAATAATTGAATATTTTTTAAGTGAATAATTCTTCTTTTTTTTTCTTTTTTTTTTTTTGCATTTTATAGGTGTACCAAATTTGGCATCACCCTCCATTTATCATGTACCAAATCCTGTAAGTATAAAAAAAAAGAAAAGAAAAAAGAAAAACGACATATTAAAATTTATTTTGATGTTTATACTCATTTTCTTATCTAAAGGATCAATATGCTCATACACCGTTGACACAAAATGCTATATCAAAACATGAAAAAATTTGTGAAATAATTCGTTTACAAACATTTATTCCATTTGATTCGGTTAATGCTACTACAAGGTAAAATAATTAATTTTAATAATTTTCAATTGATTTATATATGATTCAACTTTTTCTAGTTTAAAACTGGCTTCCCATATAGGGTTGGTTATTGCCTTCTGATAGTCTTTTTTTTTTATGGTGGTTGGAAATGGTGATGGATAGATAGCTAAGCTTTGCTCTGTTTTTTTTGCTCATACTAGTGGGAGAAGATGAGGTATAACTGAAAAAAATTGAAGTGTCAGTAGAAATATCGATAGTTTTAGGATCTGAATGAAAATATACATTAAAATTTTATTTTTATAAAATAAATTATTTTAGTTCAAGGCGTCAGTATCAAAGTTTTATTCAATCTAAAACGTTTACAAAAAATCCTTATTATTTGTGCGTAGATTTGTGTGTGTGTGTATTTTTCTAATGAATATACGGTGTGAGGTTTGAATACATGAATTTCTAATTCATGATATAACTTCAGTAAAAAAAAAAAGTGGATTTAATTCCAGAGGTTAACTAATTTTAAAATTGAAACAGCTTGAACAGCTTTTTCTGATTCACAGTGTGATTTAACAAATACATAATTAATTTTTTTTTCTTATTTTTCTCTGAATTTAACAAGATCCTCTAATTGTCATACACGTACATCTAGAATGTTAATAATTATTTGTTTGTTATACATTATTCTAACATACATACATGCACTAGTGGAAAAAAAAGAGAAGAAGTTTGTATTCATTGTGTTTTTTTACTTTAGAGAACAAATCATGTGGTTTTTACTAATACAGTATGGTATGAATATATCATTAATGGATGATTATTCTCGATATGCCTATTTGTCTATGTGTAAAAAGTATGTTTTCTACTAAAATTATTTATGTATATGTGAAATATTTTAGTATCTTGTCATTCTAGGCTAATTGGACAAGGTTTTAATTTTAATGATGATAATACTAATTCATCAACAGAAGAAGAGAGACCACAACAACAAACTCAATCAATATTACCACCAACTGGTCGACGTATACCAATTTCAAGTCGTATTATGACAGAAATACTTGGATCATTGTATTATTTTAAGTCTGTTTCAAATTTGATTTTTTATTTCAATTATTATCATTTTATCGGTATATATCTATTTTAGGGCAAATTATTCAGATAAAGACGTCGGTGAATGTATGAGATTATTAAAACATCGTGCAGATTATGAAATGTATCCAGATGTTATATTAGTAGGTTACAATTAAGATTTAAATAGTTAAATACTTTGAATATTTTTTCCTTTAAGATGACTGAATCTATGGCATGTCTACATGAGTTTGAAACACAACGTTATGAAAATAATGATACAATGGGCATTCCTCTTGAAGTTCCACCAACGGCTGATGTTGTCAAACAAAAAAGATCAGCAACCACCGCTAGATCAATGAAAATTAAACAAAAACATCATCATAGAACAACAACAGCAAACACAACAAGTGTAGGCGACATAGAACAGTCACAACAAGGTAAATAAAAAGATACTCATCTCTCTAACTTTGTTTATCTGATTGTTGTATGTGAACGTACTAAGAGTATTTTGATAAATCAAAACTTTTCTACTTAAAATCTAAGAATCTCATAACATAAGGAGTAGATTTTCTTGGACTGTAAAAACATATTTCATTTGAAAATATTGATTAAATATATTCTTTCTCCATTCTTGTAGATGCATCCACAGAAAATACGAATACAGACACCATCGAGTACCTAAATTTTGTTCCCGCTCCATCTGAAGCATCTGCAACAGACATACAACTGAGTCCATCTCCGTCAGCCCCAATAACAAATCCACTAGAAAATCAATCACCAACAACAATAAATAAAATATTTTCACCAAAAAATGAAATACAAATTGGTCGTTTTCATACAGAAAATGTTGCCATTTCTAATGATGATAATAATGATGTTATATATCCATCTTCTATTCAAACAACAACAATGTCATTACCACAAAAAACAACTCGAATAGCATCATCCATTGGACTAGCAAAAGATAATTCATCACCAAAAACAACACAAAGAATAAAACCGTCGTTATTAACATCTAGTCAACAGTATTACAATTCAATTCAACAACAACAATTCAAAGGAACATCAGCGATAATCTCTTCCAAACAAATTATACATGAGTCAGATAATGATAATGAACAAAACAATAAGATGATTGTAACAAATCATAAAAACGTTGATACAGATGAAAATGAATCGGATTCAACGACATCTCCATCATCGAGAGATGCTATTTTACCATCACCATCTCCACAACAGTTAACAGTATCTTCTCCTCGTAAACATTCGAATTTGTCAACTAGTCATGACAAAAAGCATCATCATCATGATACTACGGTGAGATTTACTACTGAAAGCAAAAAGACACATTCCGATAGTTGCGAAGAGACATATCTTTAGACAACATAGATGGTTGTTTATTTAATAAAAGATAATCAGTGTCAAAAAACCTTTAAATCTACTTAGGGAATTATTTTCATTATGAGATTGTTGCTTTTCTTTCTCCTTTAGTACTATTTAATCACTTTTTTTTCCGTATATGTGTGACGCGATTGGATTAGACTTAACCGTGTTTGTCCTCACTTCCCTTTTCCCGTGTGTGTGTGCGTTTTTCTTACGGTGCAAAGAAGATGTCTTTATTTTTTTTGTTTATTTTTATGTTTAACATCACAGGCACAAAATGAAAGTAAAAAAGTCAATTTGGGCTGTGATATGTGAGTATTTGTTTGTGTAAAATCTCTCTGTAACTTTCTTATCCATAGAAAAACAAAAAATTGAAATATTCAAGTGGAAAAAACATTTTATTGAGAAAACACGTGTGCTATTGGCTATGTTTCTTTTGAATTTATGAAGATGGGACGAGAACAACTTTCGCTGTATATACAAACGAGGTTAGACATTTCATATCATTCCTCGTGCAAGTAAACTTCAATAAAAATAAATACAATGCAACAAAATTTTCAGAAACTAATAAAAAAAAATTAAATATCGATTTTACACATTGTTGAAATTTAAAGTTCAAATCGTTGAGTATTTGACAATCACTTCTTTTTCCAATGCTAAATAAGTGAATAAATTGTAATGAAATATAAACTGAAACATGAGCTAAAAAATGTAAGAACAAAACTATACAAACTACTGCTTTTACCATGGAATTTTATAATACACACAAGCAAGAACAGCTGATGATATATTGCATACGGATTTATTAGATTCTAGATTGTCGATATCTAAAATATATCAATTGATCATGGAAATTTTTTCTAAATACTTCAAAATACATTCGTTAGCTCCAAACCTCCAAATGATTTGACCTATCGGTTTGATATTCGAAGAAGAAATGGATTGTCAATCTACTTTCCACTAGGCTATCGTCACAACTCTCTTTAGTTGCAGTCTGATATGGTAGTAACCGCCAAAATAGAATTAAAATCACTGAACAAGTGTCGAATAAGATGAAACAAATGTTTTTAAAAATAGAATGAAAAATATCAGCATTCATTATAGAGAAACATGTTATCATTAATTGTTTGCACAAGTATGTAACAAAAGTCAAATTTTTTAAAATTACTAAACTTTTTATACGAAATGTTAAAATGTTAAAACTTAATCTTTAAATACAACAGAAAGTAAAAATAATACTTCCAAAAGTTCAGAATTTTAACGAAACTTAGAATTCTATGAGCTTGGATACAAGCGAATTCATTCTCATCTCTTCGAGCTCATTAATACATGAAAAACACCTAACTCTGCTACCGGAGTGTCTGTGCGTTACCGTTTTCTCTCTTTTCGTCTATCCTATAATACTTGGAAGGAATATCGCGGAATCCTGGAAAGCGTCTTGTTTTGTAGAATGAAGTGCGTTCTTCAAAATCCACCACTAGCTCAATTCGAAATAATTGACGACTTTTCGGTTACGATCGAAATACTAAAAGCCCTAAAACCAAACGAC